AAAAGCAAAATTTTTTTTTTTAATTGCATTTAATATAAAATATTTTTGATGAAGAAACAAAGAAAGGGATAACAAGGACTATAAAGGTAGTATAAAATAAAAATCTGAAAAGAAAATTTGTTAATTAAAATGTGTTAAGTGGAAGTTTTGGTCAAGTGAATAGTTATTAGCTTTACTTTAGATGGTATTTAATCACATCTGTTAAAAATATAAAGTTTATTTTATGGCACTGAAAGCGTCAGTTCTTTAAAGGTATATTTTATTCACTTAAATATGACATTGTCAATAAGTAGTAATAGTTAAATTGTAAATAATTACTTCTAGTATACCTCATGACCGCGCTTATCTAAACAATTATCCCATAAAATATAAAAAATTAAACCCAATTTGTCGTTAAAGCTTATTCATGTGATTAACATTAGTATGGCAACTTCCTTTTACTTACTTAAACTTTCCAAAATTGTTGATAATTTTGCTCACGTTTTTTTACAAAACAATTTAAAATAAGTGGAAAGACTGTAACTTTTCTTATGACTTCATGTCGTAAGAACTAAACTGATTAATAAATGGGTTACATCACTTACATCATAAACTTCTCTAATCTTAGCCTCACTAAAAACAGTTTACATTAGTCCAGTCCACATTATTTGGACAATGATGACATCGCAATACACAGACCTTAAACTCTCAAGTCTGATATAGTAAGTTGCTTAAACATCAGTTCCTCATCACTTTCAAATGTTCTTCACTTTTTTAAAAGGAATCAAGAGTATTTGTAAAATATCTCAATGACGTTCACAGTTAAATCAACCTTCAGAGTCTGATTGCTATATATCTTCTTACAAATCATTTCTAAAACTTGATTTCACTTAGTTGAACTCTTACACACTGAGTTTCGATGGTTTTCACCTAAGAAAAGAATGCAATACCCTGACTAAGTAAAATTAATTCAATCCACAAATAAACGATTTATTTAAATAAGAATTATTTTATCCATTAAAGAGTTAAAATGAGCAACTTTCACTCTTCTATTCAAAATAATTTAATATGATTTTGCTTTGTTTGGAGAAATTTATGTCTTCATTCGAACATATTTTAAAAATTTCAATCGGTTTTGCGTCTGGATCTCATTATGCATAAACCATCTATCACACCTTATTTTATGGTCCGTTAAAATATATTGGAAATTCAATGAAATTTATGAGTCTTACACTTTTGTAAGATGAATTTGTTAGAAAAAGGAGATAATTTAGTTTTATAACCACAGAAGATTGTCAATAAATTATTTTGAAATATATAAAAAATTAGATTAAATTAAAATTCCTCCTCTAAACTAATACAAAATCGCATGTACGATAAATTCGAATATACGTGTTTATATTCTTTTAATAAGGGATATAATATTATTGCATGTATTATGTATATCATAAAAATTTTACCATATAGTAAGTACCTTTTTTATTTTTTTATTATTTTCGGTGAACTTAAATTATAAAATCCTCAGTTTGAAGGATAAACATCACCCCAAAAGAAAAAATAAATTTGCATATATGAAAGTGAAAGAAAATCATAAATGTGTGGATAGAAAATATTCTTGTTATATGGCATATGTTTTAAAACTGTAAAGATATTATCCATCAATGACTAAAGGGTCGATGTGTAACCAAATTTTACTTATATATGCAAATAAATGCTTTTCGATACATGTTAAAAAATTCTGCAAAAATTTATGTATATAAAAAATAATTTAAAGGAATAAACGAAGGACAACAAAAATTGCTTCTAGTACACAAATTCGTTTAATTTTTCTGAATTAAGTGTAGTGAAAATAAAAAAATTATATGTAAAGTATTAAAATTTCTTATATTATTTAAAATAATATTTTTATATTGCATTGGCATTGATTTACAAAAAATCTTATGTATATATTCACTATTAGAATACACAACCTATGAGTATTTCAACTCAAAATACTAAATTATATTTGGTACCGAAATTTAGAAATTTTTATAAAATATTTTTACTATCAACGAATTATTTTTTGCATATTTAGTTGAAAACATACTTTCCAAAAGAACTTTGGCTTATATGCAAATGATTAATTCAAAATAAAACTTCAAGCACATGGCTTGAAAAATTATTTAATTCTTATTTGTGGCGCAACATTTGCTCCGAAAATTGTTTTAATTCTGAATGATGTTATTGCATATTTTAGCATTAATTAAAGTCACACAGTCTCGGGCACTTCTGGGAGACACATAAATTGCTCAAGTCAGATGGATGAAAATTTTAAATTATTAAAAACACACTCACGTACTTATAATTCCTCCAGTTTGCGAGCGACACATCCGAACTCTTTACCATCTCAAAAGTTATAATTGTCAAAAATGATAGAAAGAAGAATTCGGAATAATGTCAAAAAATGAGGATACTTAAGAATGTCAAACCGATGAAACAAAAGCATTGTTAAAAAGTTAAATTTTTAATAAAGTCGCTAAAATAATTTCTGCTAAGGAGCGTAAAATTATGAAGACATTATGGATACAATAGAAGGATTATTATTATAAAAATAATTTTTAATTTCCTTAAAGTAAAATAAAAATTTTTATTGTTCGCAACTGTAACAACAAAACTCTATAATCCTTTCTATAATGCTTTTGCTTTTCTTTACTTTCACTGGAACGGAAACTTAATTAATTATATATTTTATAGGACAAAGGAATATTTTAACACATTGCCTGTAGGTGTCAGTAAAGAATGAGAGTAAAACTTTATGACTGTCTTTATTGTATCCTGCGAACACAGACAGTAAAGAGCATAAAATTATTTGGGTTTACATTGGAATGGTTTTTAATTTTTATATGAATTTATTATGTTCGCTATTATATTATTATATCCTACTATAACCAGAACAAACTAAATCACTTATGACATTTATTGATGTACCAAAATTAAACTTGTACACATACTTATTATGGAATTAAAGATATTGTATAACTCAGCAAAGCTCAGCGTTATTTTTCATACGATTTCAATAGAATTACATATCAAACTCAATGCTTCAACGTTTGTACTAAGACTGTAGGAAAGTTGTTGCTGGAAAGCCGACCTGAAATCAGATGGTTACTGACCACCATTTCAGCTACTGACCACCTTTGTCCTCAAATCAAGTTCCGAAAATTTTTTCACACTAAATTTCTATTATAATGCAAAGGGAAAAACGGATTTGTCACAATTAAATCGAGTTACTATGTTGATATATACATCGATTATCGATATTGATTTAGCGAATAGTTTAAGAATGAAATTTGGAATAAACGGGAATGACTCCTCACATCAAAAAAAAGTAATAAGATTGTCGGACCACGTGAAAGAACTTCGGATTAGAGAGATTAAAATTTTTTCTGACTGAAGGTCAATATTTTAGCTTTTCATATTTAAAATAACATCTCATTAAATTGGGTTCAAAAGCAACAGGAATCACGAAGATCTTGCTAAGTAAAAATGTTTAGCAGAGAAACATCTCATTAAAACTCGAAATGATATCCAAAAACATTTTCTAGAACCAAAACAATATAAATGAAAAGAAAAGGTTGCAAATGAAAGTAAATGGAAAGAAAATGGAAAGAAAAAAATAGAACTGCCAGTGGCAGTACCGGTTGTCGGTACTAGTCAGTAGATAACTACTCCGAAAAATTCCCTTTAGTCAGAAATGCGTTTACTGTATCCGGCACTTGCTTTCTATGTAAATATTTCAGTTCTGGCAAGATTAATAATTTTAGTAAGCAAGCTTCTGAATTGTTGGAAGATTTATATCTTAAATAAGAAACTTTCTAAAGAAATAGAATCGTTTGACAATAGAATATATTAATTATAGAACAAAGTCTTAAATTCGACTGTATAACAAGAATTAGCATATTCTTACTATTCAACTATTCAGTTGTATAGAAAAAATGGTGCCTGAAAATTATACATAGGTTTGACAAGTACAAATATTATAATATAATACATAAATATCTAAAGATACTATATAAAGATATAAAGATACTAAAAAAAACTCATACAATCTGTAACTACCTGGATATATAAAACTAGATGGTCAGTATCAAATGGCCTTAGTATAACCCATAAATCATGAGCATCAAATGACAATGTTTTAAATTGCAAATCCATAATGTGGTTGACTTCACTGTTTCTCCAACGGAAGTTTAAATTGCAATATTATGAATATTATGACTCCGGAATTCCCGTCTCTTTTACATATTAAATTCAAGTTGCATTTTGTTAGAAAGCCCCAGATTTATCTACTCTTTTACTTAAGAAATTTGCATTTAAAAATATGCAATATACAATA